GACGGCTTTGACAGAGAAGACAAAGAAGCGGAGGATTCAGAGGCCGACGAAGAAGATCTCAACGATGACGAAGACGGCAACGATATTGACGGCGATAGTGAAGGTATGACCGGATGGACATGTTTTGGCACAGTTTTTCTCATAACTTACTTTTATAACTATTTGAACGATTCAGACGACGACGAAGTGAACATCGATGAAGAAGACGACGACGAAGACGGAGAGAATGATGACGAAGACGATGACGTCGAGGCAGATGTCGGCCTCAAATACTTGGCTAACGATGACATTGATGTGAGTTTTGTGGCGAAAAGGTTTGAATTTGTTTATTAATGGTTGTGTTTATGGGATGACAGGAAGAGAGTGAAGGCGAAGACTTCAATCCCGACGGTGTAGACGACGAAGAAGAGGAAGATTTGGATGACGAGGAAGAAGAGGATGAGTCGACAGCGAGGGGTCAGAAGCGGAAACTGCCGGACGACGGCGACCCGACTGATGGCGACCCGACCGCCGAATAGACATTGAATTTGCTTTTGTTTCATATGACGGCTTTGACAGAGAAGACAAAGAAGCGGAGGATTCAGAGGCCGACGAAGAAGATCTCAACGATGACGAAGACGGCAACGATATTGACGGCGATAGTGAAGGTATGACCGGATGGACATGTTTTGCGACACTTTTCTCATATAACTTACTTTTATAACTATTTGAACGATTCAGACGACGACGAAGTGAACATCGATGAAGAAGACGACGACGAAGACGGAGAAAATGATGACGAAGACGATGACGTCGAGGCAGATGTCGGCCTCAAATACTTGGCTAACGATGACATTGACGTGAGTTTTGTGGCGAAAAGGTGTCAATTAGTTTCTTAATGGTTGTGTTTATGGGATGACAGGAAGAGAGTGAAGGCGAAGACTTCAATCCCGACGGTGTAGACGACGAAGAAGAGGAAGACTTGGATGACGAGGAAGAAGAGGATGAGTCGACAGCGAGGGGTCAGAAGCGGAAACTGCCGGACGACGGCGACCCGACTGATGGCGACCCGACCGCCGAATAGACATTGAATTTGCTTTTGTTTCATAGCATTAAATCCGAAGAAAAGGTGTCATTCTTTCCTCCATTGCTTTTGACGACATTTTTATTACACTTTCATAAATAATAATTACAATTACTTTTAGAAAATCAATTATTAAATACTTTTTAAATAAGTTTTTCCAAACAAAATAATTCTGAAACTCATCTCTCATTCATTAATAATTTGATGTTTTGTTAACTAATGAATCATCCGTTGTATCAGAAAAACTGTTTTTATTTTTTATTAATTATTGATTTAAATTAATTTCACATTCAATTCATTTTCGATTTATATTTTTTGGCCAACGAATGGATTTTATTTAATGTATAACTAAATGATAGCGTATTTTGAAATGTATTGGCCTTAAGATGTGCTGAACTTGTAATTTAAGGCATTATTTCGAGCAATTAATTGCTCCAAACATTTAGCGTTTGTTATTAAAGACAAAATTAGAACAAATATATTATTATTGAAACAAATAATGAAATGCAAAAGTTTGTACTTTTTCTCCAAATACTTAACAACAAAAAGCAAGAGTTTATTGACTTTGTTGTTGTGCTACTCTTTAAGGACATCGATGTCAGCGCTTGTGAGTCATAGACATCGCTATAACACTAAACAACTCGTACATCGATTGCCGACAAATCCTAAACACTATTTATTTATAATCTTTGATCTTATTTTAGGCACTCATACAGTCGTCTTCCCAATCATAAAACAGTGTCATGTGTTTCATCTGTTTTAACACAATATGCAATACATTTGCCAAATATTCACACAACAGGCCTAACAGTTCTCTCTCTCTCTCTCTCTCTCTCTCTCTCTCTCTCTCTCTCGTTTGTCACTTCAGTACCAATTGATGGAAATCGAGAAAAGCGATTGTTTGGTGAGAAGACAGGAAATACACGATTCAGTTGTCAATGGCTTAAGAAATAAACACGAAAACGAATT